CCCCCCCCCCAGTAAAAAACTCCACTGGTCACGGTTTTGAGCCATTCTATCCGCTTGAATCATGGACCCACAGAGGTCCGTCAGATCGCCGCTGTGTCGCTTCTGCCGCGTCCTGGAGATCCGTATACTGTCCCCAAAAGTAATGGTTTGTCCACTTGCTGGCCTCTCAAATTTGTCCCACAAAGACAGCTTTCTCTCACTCAGAAAGTCAAGCAGTCTTTTTTTTTTTCGCATCTGCACCGTCTCAGCACTTCATCATTCGTGGTCCTTGTACATTACGTAACCCAGCTGATTCTAAGAACACGCCGATAGCACCATAATCCAAAACTTTCTAATCTTTTCCTGTCTGATTTTTTCACCACGCAACATTATGCGCCATATGAAGCTATCCATAAAACTAGAGTTGGGCAGTCTCTTCTTTTACCCCGTTCACACTACGCTCAGTTATCCGGATAAATTGCGAATTAGGTCACAATTCGAATAAGTGCAGTAGTGTGAACGCAAGAGGATTTTTGTAATGCGCATTTTCAAAATCCTGCAAGCGAGGTGGATTTCTAAGCGCGATCCGGATAACTTACCGGAATCGACACCTGTACAGACCTAACTGCGCATGTGTGCAGATAAGTGCGGGTATCTATGAACGCTTGTTTATTACTTTAGCGATTGCACCAAACGTATTTGGAGGTCACCATTCACTACAACATGAGGAAACAAACTTATTTTGCCATCTTATGCTTCCCAAGAATGCTGGAATGTCTTTTTGAGATACATTTGCCGTCAGACTTTTTTGTTGGTATTTTGAGTTTTTCTGTGCGGCGCATGCGCGAGTGTTCAAAACAGGAAGTTAAACCTGAAATTTTCAACGTGGGATTCGGATTTGCTTCGCGAGTGTGAACGCAATTCCGAATTGGATTCCTCACGAAAAATCCGAATTACAGAAATGCGCATTTTTGCAACTGTAGTGTGAATGGGGTATTTGTTCTTAGAAAAATGTTTTTGTCCTCCCGTACCTTTGATGTGGCGATTGTGGCAGAAACGTTTCACCACATTCAAATTACACGGACTGTTCCGTTCGCATTTTCTTTTCAGTGTATGGTAGGAGTATACGTTTTTTTCCTTGATGTAAAATAATTGTATACTTTCAGAGTGACTTACACAACACGGTACCGGTGTTGTGATGGTTGGAGGAAGCACAACGCATTTTCTGTTCAGTGCATGGTCAGAGGTTTGCGTTTTTTATTATTTTATTTATTTATTTTGGAATTTAGTACCATTTTATATTGAATATGATAACACAAGAACATTTAAAATATGTAGTTCTTATAAGAAATATGCAGTGATTTAAGATTACACTAAAATCTATAAAGAGAAACTGGACTTGGTTATTTATATACATGTATATGCTCTCTTACTAAAATGACGGAATATTTTGGAAATTATAGATACATTTTTTCAAAGTTCTCTGATTATTATCACAAAAACGGTATTGCTCTCGGGTGAGTCTGCTTTTTATTTTAAATGCCTGTTTTTTAGATATGTAGTTTTTCTCTATAAATTACTGATATTTTAACAAATTTATAATTGATCACCATGAAGGACACAAATGAATAAAAATCCCCAGTTATACTATAACTTGAAAGTAGAACATGAAGTCATAATGAGCGGATTCTGTCATTTTGTCTTAGTTGGAAATTATTAAAGTCGTAGATTCAATACTCTTTTGGAAAAATTTAGAAATAGTGTATACACGAACACGTTTCTTAACAGAAAGATATATTTACAATAAATAAATAAAATGAAAAGAATGGTGAAAGATAACGTAGTTTAGACTGTTCCGTAGCTTTATTTGATTTAAAAAGGCTGAAAGGCCCAAGCCTATTAAAGCGGGGGTAATAAATCCCATACACTGCAATGGCAGATTTAGAGGGGAGGTGTCAGGGGGTCCTGACCCCCCCCTTTGCTTTCTGAAAAAAATCACACCGATGGTCCCTTCTTGAAATTAGAATTTTGACTAGTTGGATTACAGTTCTCAACCGTACTAAATGGCACCGTTCGCCCTCTTAAACCCCACGCCAAGGGGTGGGGGTGGGGGGGTCGGCTTCGCAACTGCGGACCCCCCTTCAAATTATCCTGGATCCGCGCTGGTGACCACTTATACCCTGCACTGGTGACCTACTAATAAGAACTGCTAAGTACCACTTTAGAAATACACACTGTATATTTTGGTATCTCCCACAAAAAAAAGCTTATTGCTGTCTGCCATAGTATAATGCTTTTTCATGGTTAACTTTTTTCAAATATTTTTTTTTGCCGTCGAATATAACAGCTAAGTGCAGTGGGGATCAATTTGCTTGTGACAATGGCCGGTGTGTGCATAAATCTTACATTTGCAACGGGAATGATAACTGTGGAGACGGTTCTGATGAACGGATGTGTGGTAAGATGGTAGTTTTGTTCATGGATATTAAAGGAATAAATAATAAATATTGTACGTACATGTAAAGATGCAAAAAATGAAATATCAGCATTTAGTTGTTTTACTTGTCTTTATGAAATGTCACATTGAGGACACTCTAAAATTCAGGGCAGAAATATCATATATCGTATTTGCATTCAATTTAGGTGATTGTCCCAGTGGTTACTTTCGCTGCTCTAAAGACGACATGTGTCTTCCTCGTCGTCTATACTGTGACCAAATCCCGGACTGCGGAGGGTCCAGAAGTGAAATGCCCGAAGATGAGATGAACTGTGGTACTTATGATATTTCTCTTCTACATTTATTATTTGTGTAAAAAATGCAGTACAGTTGGTGTGTAACGTTTACTGTTTATACATGTGCCTACATTATTATGAATTTAACCTGTATTCAAAACTACCCTCAATAAGTTTTAGCATGGACTCTCAGACCCCATTCCCAGAGCTTAGATCGATCTACTTTAGATCGACCTAACTCCCTGGGGGTTCACGCTAAATAGCTGTCAGCCGAGTTGACACAAAAGTTAATTACCCCCTTACAGATTGTAGTAGGCGGGACGGACATTTAAGCCGGATTATCTGACAGTAATCTAGTGAGACTTACCGCGGGGATAGATCGATCTAAAAGCTATGGGAATACACTATCAGACTCTCTCTGTCTCTCTCTCATTATTATTATGTTAATGACGATGTTATTAAAATACTTCCAGTATTTGGTCAAAGCAGTTTTGTTTAGAGAAAATAACAGCTACAGAATTCATATGTTTAGGACAACATTCATTATTCTACTGACACACTTTAGTCACATTAACTTGATTTTGCAGGAACTATTGTTCAACTGACTGCACCTACAAATACAAGTCGCTTCGGTCACGTGTACTCTGGTGTGGTAAGCGTGTGGCACAACAGTGGTTGGGGGTCACTTTGTGATGACTACATGGACATAAATGATGCACAGGTTCTCTGTCGTCAGCTTGGGTTTAAGAACGTCACGCGGTTCTTTACAAGTGCAAAACTTGGACAAATGTCTTTAAGTTATCCCGTGTGGCTGAGGGGTCTAAATTGTGATGGAAGTGAGCAATCAATCGTTCAGTGTCCCCTGCCAGCTAAATGGGGATATCCTGGTTGTTCACACTATGAAGACGTCGGGATTGAATGCAGCGACGGTTAGTTCACATTTATTCACACAAACATCACCTGTTCAGTTAAATCATCTACACTGTAAAAACAGTTTTTAACATTTAAACACATACAACACACGTTAAGCACCTTAACGCATTTAGAAATGTCTTTAGGAGCTAAACACTGTTTTTACAGTGTAGCTGATTCAACTTGGACATTTTTTTAAATTAGGTAAATTTGCTATAAAACCTCATTTACTGAATCACATGCCTTAATTTGTATGTGTAAATATCTAATTAGTTTGATTTTCTTCGAGCGTGCGATAGGCTTTAATTTATGCTACGAAATGCTATGAAATTAAACGCATACAAAGATATAACTAAAACATGTCACTTCTCCTTCCAGAGCCTCTTCCACAGTTCCATCTTATCGGCAAGAGAAGAGAAGAGGCTGTCATCCCATGAAGAGAAAACTAAATGCCGCACCAAGAATGATTTCCTACATATGCATCTATGAAATCTTAGCTGACCATGAGTCATTAGTTTGACAAGACTTATTAAATAATTTTCGGAAAATTGTATTTCGCTCTTACTGTTTTAAATCATTTCGTTAATGTTTTGAGGGTTAAAATCTAATAGAAGAATATTCAAAGAATTTATAACATCTTTTCTCTCCCGCCATTATAAAGAAATAGCACAACGCAGTGTAGGGAGTTGTCGTTATCTGATAATTACATCCTCCCATTTTCTTTTTAGATAACCCGTGTAAATAACCAATTGCAAATAATAATTTTATTTTAGTAATGGAAGTATGCGCCACCCACTTATCCACCCACTATCAACTAATGCTTTACGCAGGTTGATAATGCAAGAACTGTATAAAAAACGCATGAATGAAACCTGATCTTTAAAACGACTATTCGTATGGTGGGCTAGACACGGAACTAGAAACCTCCATAATCGACAAGTGCTACAAAATTGACGAAGGCACGAGAGAATACAATTTTCGTATTTTTGTGAGAAAACCTCTCAAAGTGGTTTCTTGTTTAAAGTATCTCTTATATGAGGAGATCAAATCTATGAAAGTACAAATTTTTTAAAAACGTCAAAAATACTGCAAATCAAAAGACACAACCAGCCTGATCGCTTTCATTTCCATGGGGCGTAGTTTGCTAAATTCTTTTCCAAATGCTTACCGAAATAACAATATCCCGTTTAGCGATGGTAATTTGCCAGACAATATAGCAAACTGTCAAAAACTAGCTAAAATTGTTCTTACAAAAAAGTTACATGGTTGTTTAGAAAGAAGAATAATTTGATTAAAAATAGTGAAAATCTTTTTTTTTTTCGTTTTTTTTCTTTGTAATTAAATTTTTAAAAAAGTACTTGCACGTTATTACAACAAAATACTAGTCGCGGGATTTAAAATCTACTGCGACGTCCATAACTCCACAAAACACAGAAATTGTACAAAAATTTATTCAGTCTTGATATAAAGATTTTCTTTAAGTGAAAAGTACATATACAAATACGATCTCGAAATCGGCAACATTATTGCATTATCGTAGGAAAAATGCAGCACGCCATTGCTCAGCAAAAATGAACAAAATGGCGTCAATCAAATGTTTTTCATTCTCGCGCGATCATAATACATAAAAATTGATGTTTACGTTCACCAAAGTCATTCAACATTTTCATCGGCTGCTGTATTGTCATGTAACTAAATATAATGAACACATGTTAATCGTTTGGTCATTTTATGGCTACTGAAAATCCTGAGCGGTTAAGAGATTCGTTTCAGCTTTCCAGGTGTTTACTTTCGCCATTGTCCAAATCCAATTCTGAAATGAAATGAAAACTTTTTATTGATCTTTTATGATCTTTCTATTGATCTCTCCACGTAGTGTCAGTGTAAAGAAAATTGTTCTTCAGCGTTATCTGCCAATATGCGATTCAAAAATATTGCACGCAGATATGGTGACAGAAAGCAGAATACTGCGATTCCTTTTAACATGTAATTTGCTAATGAAAAAGAACATCCCTGTATATATTTATTCCAGAAAATATTGAAAAGTGCATGAAAATGAAAACACTGTAAGGTTTTTGCATTGTAATTATATAATAAAGCTAAAAAACTAAATTGAGGAATTTAAGCTATAAGACGAATGAAATACAAATAACTAAATGAACTGAAGGCTACTTACCTAATTGGTATTGCATCTTAAGCATCAGCGTATTAAACAACCTCAGTAGCGGCGTCCATATCTGGCATTGTACCCTCTGCCGGAGCCGTAGCCAAATCCGGCGCCGAATCCGGAACCTCCGTTACTGCCGCCACCGCCTCCGCCTCCGCCACCACCGCCGCCGCCACCACCGCTGGAACCACCATAACCACTTCCAAATCCGGCCCCGAAGCCGTATCCATTTCCGGCGCCACCGCCGCCTCCGCCACCGCCACCACCACCGCCGCCGCCGCCACTGGAACCATAACCACTTCCAAATCCAGCCCCGAATCCGTATCCGTTTCCGGCGCCACCACCGCCACCACCACCGCCGCCTCCTCCTCCGCCGCCGCCACTGTTGCCGAAGCCGCTTCCAAAGCCGGAGCCGAAACCAAATCCTCCATTACTACCTCCTCCTCCGCCCCCACCTCCTCCTCCACCGCCGCCGCCTAGCAAAAAGTTGTTCCTTCTTCTGCCGCCAAGACGGTTAAACAAACCTCTCTGACGTTTATAGCCCTGAGCGAAGATCCCGGTAACCACCAGGCCGAGAATCAGAAGTTGTTTCCACATAGTTTTGGTGATCGTAGCAGAAGAGTTCTAACAGAAACTCGAATGGGTACACACGGTATTAAAAGCGCTGCAGACGGTATTGCCTCGTGGGCAAAGTACAGATGGAGCCAAGAGTGTTCTCGGCGGTTGTAAGCGACGGGCGGTCATTTTATAGACAGCTGAGGGGGGAGGTTGCGTGCCGACGGGGTATAGCGGTTCACTGTGGTCATTGCCAGTTATTGACCAGGAGCACGAAAATCATCAGCCGGTGATATATTGTCGTGGCGGGTGACGTGTCTTCTAGTATTCCCCAGGGTTATTTCCGTATTTCCGTGGAAAGCTGGAAAGTGATTGGACACTTTTGTGGGTGATTTAAACTAATTCAAAATAAGAAAATGCTTTTTTTCAAGCACAAGTTATGACATCGTTGAATATCTGCAACGCCCATCGTTAGCCCTTGTCGATGAATGTTTGAAAGATGCATTTTGCGGAACCTTAAAAAGGTTTCACAAACCACGATAGTGGTAATTCCCTTCATAATATTAAAAAACACATTAAAAATGCAATAATTTTGTATCCATATTTCCCTGTAGTGTCGACTGACGACGGTGGTATTACAAGAGTACGTGCGGTTCTTGACCGCAAAGAATCTATTATAAGGGAGATTAAAGGCAAAGTCAAATAGTTATATCTTCATTGCTCTTTAAATTGAATAATAACCTGTATGATTGCAGACCTGATTGTGGTATTGTAGTCCGTTGCACACGCGCTTTAGCTGGGATTGTTGACAAATAACATTGTTATTATTCATTTATTTGTTTGTTTGTTAAGAATCTACGCTGAAACATTTCCTGGCAGCGTATTTTAGTTATAAATAGTTATAAATATCTAGTGAAAATTCTCTTGGCGCCATGGTAGAGGGTAGGAAGTGACTAAATCCTGTTGTATTGTACTAAGATATTGAAAAAATTAAATCTTATATTGGATCCTATTTGAAAAGGAAACTCAGGCTCGATCAGCTCAAAGCCTTCTTCAGGTGAATTGAGTTGTCACGTGGAGACAGTCTGCACGGGGTGTCTTGTGACAAGGCCGAAACGTCGTGATCTCCGTTTCAAGTAAGATCCAGTAAAAGATTAAATTTTCTCATTATTTTAAATGTTTAAGGCCTTTTTTATTGTAAATGTGATTATTTCTTAATTTAGTACATGTACGCTGTACTGGTGGTTTCATTACCAGCGTTCTTTGACCCATGTATATTGCTCCTCTCTCTTGTTTTGTATATTGTAAATTTCCATTTATATTTTACATAATCGCCAATCCTTTTGTGCATTCGCTTACGATATAATATCTTCTCTCTCTATGTTAATGCAAAGAAATATAACCACATTAAGTTTGAATTTCGATTTCAAAAGTTATTTCATTATTTGGATTACTAATTCCAAAGTCACTTTAAATAAGCCTACAGCGTTTCTTACCGTCCAGAAGACTCGTGATGGAATATCATTAAGAAACGAGTTGGATATTTCGTGTTTAAAACGAATAACCAGGATACTTAATTTTAAGGTAGAAGAAAATATGAGATAATGAATTGAAAAACAAAAAATTTATATGATGGCAAAATAAACGGATTTAATAATAGCTACGAAAGGTATTGAAAGAAAATAGATGTTCAGAACTGTACTTGGACATATAGGTAAAGAGGAACGCCTGTAACTGACCAATTGATGACTTCATACTGTTTTCGTGACCTCACTGTATTAACATGGGAGTAACGGTTTCTATTTCCTTTTGCTGTCAAATCTGTCCATATATTAATTATTATTGTTATTATTGTGCAAATGTTTTAGCAATCAGGTATGTAGGCCTATCTAGATTTGAAGGGCGACGATGGAGGGAGGGAGGGAAAAAGAAACCACGCGCTACTTTAGGTTCAGAGATACTTTTTGATGCAAACATGCCCAGCTTGGCCAGACGATTATTTTCTGTACATATAACGAGTCCCTGCGTGAAACTAAGCCCCTTGTGAAAAATACTGTATCCGCCATGACAGCATAAATACGGAAAGAAAAACTAAAATAATTTTCCGTCGTTATAATTTTACTGTATTTCATATGTTAAAGCTCGTTTGTATAAACAAATTAAAGTCATGCCGTAGCAAAAGGAAGAAATCCTGCTTGACGAATGTCTAGAATTTCAAATGTGACCACTTATTATTATTATTATCATTTTAAACAAAAACAGAAAAGACAAACACGGATTTGTTTTATCTTTATCGACACCAGAAAGATTCCACCTGAGTGTACAATGAAATGAAGGTAGTTTCATGTAAAATGACTGATGCGTCGCAATCAAAGAGATATGTTTGAGTTACAGTGTATGTAAACATCCCTGACTCAAATACCCTGATTCTAGTAGCGGACGCGCTCCATGTGTTGTATGTATAACTCCATTGTCTGTATCGCATTTTACTGACAGTCATTGCATATTAAATTGTAATATAAATTGCTGAAGTTCTAGTATTTCATGTTTATAGCCGAATGACAAGTAAAGATGTCTTTAAGAGCCAGGAACGCAGTGGATTCAAGAGTTCTTCTCTGCGCTGAAAGAAGAAAAAAAAAACAATATATCAACGCATATAAAATGTTGATGACAATAAGAATGTTTAAAGAGCTTCGTCATAATTGAGATTCATAAGATGACGCTAGTTTGGGAGGAATTGAAACGGTCACCTTGGGTCCCATTCAGAAAACATTATCCGCAGACTAACTAGCCCGCGGATCAAATATGGCTAACCCCACTTGAAAGCCATGTCGGATAATCCCTTTATAATCTCCCCGCCTCCTACACGCGACAGGCCTGCAGGGGCCGAGCCACTGAAAGTATTAAGTTTCGGCTCCGAGGTTTAATAGGTAGGCCCCTGCAGGGCTGGCGAGTGAGATAGGTAGGGAAACCATTAAGGGATTATTCGGCATCGCTTTTAAGTGGGTTCAGTTGATTAGCGCACCAGTTAATCGGCGGATACGTTGTTCTGAATGCGGCCATGGATTCAGAGTCCGCATATTCGACACAATTGTTTAGTAAATATATGAAGAGCGTTAAAAAAACATGACGGAAGATAAGCAGAGCTGGTTAGAAGAGATGCAAAAGTAACAAGCAGCATAAGACCGTTTAATCATTTAGCTAAAAAGAGCCTGTCATGTGAAACCGTCATCCATCTGGTGGTCGAATTCTCTAAGTTGCTTTTGTAACTAAGTGTATTGTCATTTGTCATTCCTTTTATTGGTCGTTTTTTTTTTTGTTTATTTTCATTTGAATATTGCTACATTTTGCGCACAATGCCTATACCTACATAATCACAACAGTGCGACTATTATAACTTACCTCAAAGAACCACTGATGATTTGTATTTATCTTCGTTTACCGCGGACGATGGCCGTCCCTCCTCCTCCTCCGCCGCCGCCACCTCCCCCTCCCGGTCCTCCAAAGCCGAATCCACCCCCAAAACCGAAACCAACAGCAACTGACCCATCCGACCCGATGGCCAAGGCTCCTCCACCGCCAAAACCCCCTCCTCCTCCTCCATTTGCTCCGCCCCCAAACCCAAATCCAGCTCCGCCACCAGTTGCCGACGCTCCATTTGATCCGGCCTGTGCACTGCCGCCGCCGCCACCGCCGCCGCCACCAAAGCCATTTGAACCACTACCGAATCCAGCGCCAAATCCACTCCCGCTTGCCACAGCATTCCCTCCTATTCCTCTGCCCCTGCCTCTGCCTCTTCCCCTGCCCCTGCCCCGTCCTCTCCCCTGCTGGGCTAAGGCTACGGTTATAAGAAGAGCAAGGACGAAAACGTGCGCCCTTTTCATCCTGAGCGGTGTTTCAAGAAGACGCCGCTTGATTCAGATGTGGCAAGAGTCAGCTTATAACAGATGCCAATGTTCCTTAAAAATATTGTTCTAGCGAGAATGGCGACATTGGAAACATTGTAATGTAAGCGCACTTTAATAGGGGCGCTGTTTTCGTGCAGGTTTCTATTGTTTCAAGATAAAACTTATTTTTCGCATGCAGTCGGAATGCCAGCGATTCTATCTTACGTGAAAATGCACAAAAAGTTAACAGTTAATGACAATGTAAAGTCACTTGATTGATATTGGCCCATATCATTTGCCTAAATTATGAAAAGGCAATGGAAAAATGCTATTCTTACTCTGACAAGTCAAATGTGCACGCATGTGCATGGGCTCAAAAAATAACATGCCATATTTTTATCCAAAGAGAATGTTGCCCTGAACTCGCATCTTATTACGAGTCCACAGAGTGCACAGCATATTCACTCCAAATACTGCGACTGTCATTTTATGTAGGCTATAATTACTCCAGGAATCCAGAGTTGTGGACAACAGACCGTGTTGTGGTTTTTTTTTGTTAAGGTCATACAGCTTAGTCTACCGGTGAGCGAGGGTTGCGAGCGTTATTTTGGACGTCGACATGTCCATTCAACAAACAACAGGGCTCTTTCAAAACGCCTAAGTTCAAATTGCATTCGAGGCATACCTTTGAGAGGCTCTGCCACCTGGAATATATATTGAAGCATGCCCGCAAGAAAATGCAGTAGTATCGAAGTAGCAAAGAAGCAGTAACGCAGTAGTGGTGTGGAGCATATTTGCAGTAGAAATGCAGTATAGCCTACTGCAATTCTACTTCAAAAATTACATAGGGTTGTATAGAGGAGGAGCATAAATGCAGTAGATTAGCAGCATGATAGAAGCATGTTTCAAATATGCTAATTAGCTCCCACATCGAAGCAGATTTGAAGCATGTTTGCAGTATGATTGCAGTAGTCTACTGCGCTGGAGTATCTACTTCATTTTCGTGCGGGTGGTGTCCACCTTTTATCCTTTTAATCGCGTCAAAGCCTTAACTTCATGGACCCCATCTCTATTTTTTTTATGGAGGGGTGGGGGGGGGGGCAAGGAAGAGCAGTTTTTGAAATGCGATGAATACCACTTGTTGTTAATGAACAAAGCCCATGTAAAATTCTCGGAATTAATGGGATTAAGGGTTTTTTCTTGATATCATTAAAATACAACGCAGAAAGTTGCCTCACAGTGGCTGTGAATTTCATTCTGCACACGAATCCTAAAATATATGTTTACCCCGCGTGACGAATCACAAATATCCATGGGTCACGTGCCATGGTCTCGTTATGAGTTTCCGTCACGCGAAGAGGGGCTTACTTTGGTGAAAAATGTCAGCTTGAAACGCACACTTAATAACATCAGTCAGAAGTTAACAGAAAACAATCAAGATATTTCCTCAACTTGCGGTTGTTTCTCGATATATTTGCCCCTAGATAAAGCTCGCGTGAGTTTATATCCAAACTACAATATATATTTTTCTCTAGACAACAGGCCTTTTTCAGCTGGATGACTTCATGTTCACTTCTTTTGTTTACTGGAGAGCAAGCTCTTCAGCGATTAAATTAAGTCAACATCTAGTCATCTAGCTGCAAAAGACCAATAATTCAGGAGGGAAAGATGTGATTAAGATATCTGCTTTATTATGACCTCCTTTCATATGTTCATAAATTGGTCTTTAACTTGTTTTGGTGGCGGTTTGTGCTTTTATAGTTCACCCCAGGTTAAAATAGCACTGCACATACACAGAGACATGGGTATCCTGAAAATTATTTTTCGTATTTAAAAGAAACTTTATATTTTGCGTTTAAGTTGGACAAGGTAGAATTAAGACGTGTAAAGTATGCAAACTGTGATGATGACATAGTAATAGAGAATCCATCTTATACAAAATCATCATTATGCAATAGCTTGTGCTGAGGAACTCCCGTTTGCGCCACAGTATAACACAAAAGTCGTTAACAGACCAAATAACTTTAGGTCGAAGCTTAAGGTATGAATGGGGAATTTATAAATGTGGATATTCAGTTGAAACAATATGAGTTATGAACATCAAAATAAATGACATTATATATATATATATATATATATATATATATATATATATATATATATATATATAAGCAAAGCTGGCAGGAATAAGCTGGGACAGATATCCGGATAATAACCCGTGTATTTTTTCACGTACATGTGTCGTGATGTGCGCTCAAAAATTCAGTCAATATAAAATACAAGAGATACAATAAAAGGAGAAAGTAAAACAAGACAATTATACGAAATGTGCAGATCAAATTCCTCATGCCTTTAAACTCCATGAACAAAGTTTCCTCTTTAAAAAAAGCATACACGTACATGTACATGTGAGCGCAACCTCGTACACGCACACACACAAGCACGTACACACATGCTCCCACGAACAAGCATGAACTGGCTTAAAGAGGCAATGTTACTCAAAACAAGAGGATGAACTCCTAAGGGCTCGTTTCGGTTGTCAACGTTATTTATGATGGCAGTCGCATTCAAGAGGAAACAGTTTTCTCGCGACGTTGACAAATTTACAGAGTATAACAAATCGTATTTTTACTTCCTCCTATTCTGCGTGAACGGGACTAGCACTACCATTGACAGCATGGACTGTATTACAACATAGCACCAAAGATGGACGATAAAATGTATTTTAAGTCTTGATCGATAGTTGACAGGCGAGGAATCTTTTCCAAACACATGGGTGCGATCACGCGATTTTAGATGCCTATAAGTACGAGAGGCCGCGCACCCGCATACGCGCTTTTGCCGAGCGATCCCACAGATCGGTTGAGCCGTGCGGAAGTCGGTGCAAACAATGCTTAGACACGCCGTTCTTCTTCTCTTGCTCTTAGGAGCAGTTTTAGGACAAACAACAACTCGCTTTAACAGAGTCGACTTGAACGGCTTCAGCGGAGGGGCTGGCGGTGGGTTTGGCGGTGGAATCGGCCCCGGGGGAGGGGGCGGCGGAGGCGGCGGTGGATTTGCGGTCGACACCCCATTCGGTTCCGTCAGTGGCGGTTTCGGTGGCGGTGTCGGCGTCAGCGCTAATGGTGTCGGAGGAGGGTTCGGAGGAGGCGTTCAGAGTACTTTTACTGGACCCCAAAGACAACGAAGAGGACGGAGAGGGTTTTCACGAGTATTTCTTTACAGAGGACGAAGATACTAACATGTGGATTTTAAGGTAAATTTTGTGCGGTGTGGTATCTAGTTGTTCCGAGTGTTTGTCTATCACTATTTTGTTTTTAGAAATATTAGATATTACATGTGTGCAGTTTTATAGATACACAAAAATTTAAGATTGATTATATACTTTTCAACTTTTGATTGCTCTTTTCAGATACAGAGACTTAATTTTTTCTTATTTATGTCGGACTTGCGTTATGCATAATACGATCAAATGTAGAAAAAAAAAGGCAAAACATAAAAAAAAAACAAGGAATGCCAAAAAGTGAACTTGGCCAATATTTATTCATCAAAAAGCAATCTGTTATTTTTTTTTGTTTTATTCTATTTTGTTATTTTTTCTTTCCAGTTTGAAAAGGAAGCTGTAAACTGACACGGGGCCACGTGGACAGCACGCTCTGACGACTTTAAAATCGAAACTTTTTACTGGACATGTGCCTTTTCCAGGAACACGTGGACGTTTTCATGTGTCCAAGACACTGGTTTTCACTTTTTTTGTAATAAATATATATAATGAAAGAATAAACGTGTTTTTTTATGAAATGCAAATATGACATAGAATATTGAGTACAGCCTCCGTTCACAGGGTTATAGTTTGCTTGTAACATAGAGAATGTAAAACTAGTTTCAAATATGCGCCTACTTCGCGTATGATTAATATGTATAATGAAACGCAATAAATAAATAAGTTAACAGTAAATTCATTCAAATTATAAGTATATTTACTATAGTACAACTATAAAACTATTTTAAAATTAAATATTTAAGTTCTTTTTTTTAATAACCCTTGCACTCGATTGTTTTGTACATTTGGTCAGTAGACTTGCATTAGTAGAAATAGATCGTGATTAGAACTATCCTGCCCCATTTGACAAAATTGAATAAATAAACGAATAAATAAATAAATAAATAAATAAATATAAAATAGTGTGAAATGATAAATCAGTTGATAAATACAATAAGCAAAATGAAAAGATTCAATCATACCGGTACTGTCCCTGATAGAAATGTCAAAAGTCGTGGCGTAAAGAATTCATCCATAAGCGTTGACATATTTTCAATGCCATGTAAGCTTTAAAAAAAAAAAAAAAAAAAAAAAAAAAAAAAAAAAAAAAAAAAAAAAAAAACACCATATGCATGTGCATTCCAGAGAGATATAAGATTGGTCCTGACTCTAAACGGCTGTATTCACCTATAACTGAGACCACGTATAATGCTCCACTGTATAATGTACATGATCTATGTTCAAGAAATCGCCCGAGTTTTACGATTCAAAATGAACCAATAAGTTGAAGAAAGTAAGTGAGATTTATTTGTCTTCATTTTATTTCCTTGTCTCAGTTTTTTCGATAAAATGTTTGCGTGTTTTATTGAAATCATCTTTGGCATGCATGGTAGTAGAGAATGATTTTGATTTGACGTCATAGGACAATAACTTTTCAAATAAAAAGATTCCCATCTCACCTCATGCCTTTAAATCTCACAAGAAACAACCCTGTCCGCTGACGTCGTCATCAACACCTTGACGGTATAAATTAAAATTAGCTTCGATGTGAACTCGAAGAAGTCACGTCTAGTTTGTTGAGTGTAATCAAGTATACATCCCACAGCTCATATCTATCAATGCCCGTGACAACTTGCCCATGTTTTATGCTATAGCACGGAGCCGTTTTTTTTAATTTTTTTTAATCACAAGACTACTATTAATAATATATTTACCTCACCCCAATCTGTGGGAACGCGTTGACATTATCTCATTTTGTAATGAAAAAATAGATAAAGAAATAAATTAGCGTGTGGTAAGTGCATAAGAATGTAGCACTGGCTGACTGTTGATGAATTGAAGATCAACTGAACGAACAAGTGATCACTTGGAAGAAATAAACACACGTTTAAATGCGTTAATGAATAACTTGAAAGTGGTACTTGGAAACATTGTTGGCGAAAATGATTTGGATTTCTTTGAAACTAATCTGTCCTGTCCTTCCTTTCAAAAGACATGGTAGAAACTTTGGAAAGATCGACACTAATGGAAGTGCAGGGATGCGTGTAAGCGTTCGCTAGGCACAGAGCAAATGATCAAAAAGCTAATATCTAAACTAAGTCGTATACTCATTAAACACTCATCACCGCGAAGTTGAATGGTTCCTTGGTTAATTGATAGATATGTGCAGTTACAGCTGTGGATTTTTTAAAAACACCACGTTAATTATATTTCTCACTCTAAATATCCCATAAATGCACCTCTCACATCAAAAACTTGATTGATTTTTTAAAAAATGAGTGTTGAATTTAAACCTTATAGGGATCTGATTTGTAATAAACATAGTTGGAATTGAGGATGAAGTTCTTACCACAGCCGCCCTCAATCCGACGCCACAGACATGCAGAATTTGATAATGGTATGATGAAGCTGATATTCCAATCTTTTATCAATCTTTTATGTATTTGTACCACAACTGTGTTTACTGTAATGTAATAAAAGTTTTCCTCCCATGGTTTATCTGTAAAAAACAAACATGGGATTATCGTTGATTTAATTAGATTCAGGAACGCTGAATTCACTAGTCCCCGTTTTGGCGGATTCAAGTTCGATCTGAAATAAGGATTGTCGATTCTTTTACTTCACGCTGAAACTGCAAATGGACACAGAACCAGCCTATCTAAAACTGATTGCTACAGCACAGGTCAACTCTAGCTGACGTCATGTGTGTGAATGGTTTTGTAATGTGGCGTCATTTGGATCGAACTCAACCCTTGTTGTGTGAACACATCTTTCCGATCAGACGCCTTACGTGACACTACTCACGTGCATATATTTCTGTTACTTATATTGCTGCAAATATTGAACGGGTTACCTGTGGAAAGTAGATAGAGAAACGGAATACAGATCAAAGCTAATACGAAAGGTACGTGGTCCTTTGAATGTACTTGGAATTTTTCATCGTCTCGGTACGTGGTGCTTGCATTGGCAATCAGTTTTTGTCATTTGCCAGTTGTGTTGTTTCACCTCAGAATTTTAAAATTCAAAATCAGACATGCATCATTGCAATGATTGGCAAACGTTATGGTGCCTCAGAATGACTATAATTGACTACCTCAGAATAACTATAATTGACTACAGAAATCTAAATGCGGTTACTGTTTCCGGTTATTTTACGGGAAAAATAACTTGCTAGAGGTTTTAATAATCGGTTGCTTCTTTCTCCATTTACAGCTACAGGCACGGTTGCTACAGCAATCATGGTATTTGTCTTGGCATTGGTTCTGGGTACATTTTGCGTGACTCCAAGCTATGGCAATGAACACGATTATGGATATGGTTATGGGCAAGAAAACGGTTAATAAACATTATATCTTTTCACCATTTTATAATAATTAACAGTTTTATTAAAGACAATGCAATAAGACGTTAATCGTTAATGGTTTAAATGGCGTTACCTAAAATGATGCAACACTGTAAATAGTTTTATTTTCGAATTGGTAATATTTTACTTGCACCTAAGGGAAAGTTGTGTTTACTTTTTATTTGGATATACAAGAAAAATAATATAGTGAGATACTAGTAAGTGACATCAAACATGGCCATTCAAATATCTAATTTTTCTCATTTATTACTTTTGTGGGTCAAAATTTGTTGCTATATAAATACACCATTTTCTTAACTTAAATCAATCCTTTGTTTTAACTGGTAAATATTCATATATAAAATACATTTTGCCAATTTTCAATTCAGAGAGAGAGAGAGGGAGAGTTTGTTGTCAGAAAGTCTATCAACATTTTAATCATAATTTCAGGTTGTGAAGCCAAAATTGACCTGGCGTTTGTAATAGACGCCTCTGGCAGTATCAGCTCTGCCGACTGGAAGAAGCAGAAAGAGTTCATCAGTGACGTCATTAAACATTTTCACGTCGGAACAGACATAGTCCACGTGGCGGCTCTGACATTTGGCACGGGCTACAAAATCAACTTCCAATTAAAAGATTACAATACAAGCAGCCAGGTACTGGGAGCCGTAAGTGGCATAGAACAGACGGGTGGAGGAACAGAAACTTACGTAGGCCTACGGATGATGCGTTCCGGCCTTTTCAATATTCGCAACCGTAAAGGTCCTCGCCCTGATGCGCTGCATGTTGGAGTCGTTATAACGGACGGCTTTTCGGAAAACAGTACCGCAACAGCCTTGGAGGCCGAGAAGGCAAAGAAGTCCAACATCACCCTCTTTGCCGTCGGAATTGGAGAGGAAGCCAAGGAAGACGAACTGAAGAAGATTGCGTCAGAACCGTCGGCTACGTTCGTTTTTAACGTCAAAGACTTCGAATTTCTGAAGAACATCGAGAAGAAATTGTTTGCGGCCGTTTGTGCTTATTATAATGGCTCTAACGGATTCCTTCCAAATTATCTTACAATATATGTTCTTGCATTTGTGGCATTGGTCGAATACAGGCTTGCCTCGCCCTGGCCGTAGATACTGATAGACCCTCTGACATTTCATGTAGTATAAAAACGGTCAGCATTGCCATATAACATTCCAGTAGGGGGATAAGACGAGTTTTGTAATTAGTACTTTGGCCTGTTTTTGATTATTTAGTAAATGCAAATTTTTGTGTCATACAAACGCTGTTAATGCCTAAGACCCCATTCCCAGAGATTAGATCGATTCAACTAGATTGACCTAACTCCCTGGGGGTTCACGCTAAATAGCTGTCAGCCGAGCGGGCACGAAAGTTAATTACCCCCTTACAGCTTGTATAGTAGGCGGGACGGACATTTAAGCCGGATTATCTGACGGTAATCTAGTGAGACTCCCCACGGGGATAGATCGATCTAAAATCTATGGGAATGCGCTATAAGGGTCGGGCAATAAGAAGAGAAAACGCGAGAGGACATTATCGAAATGCCTTTGGGGGTAATGTGTATCATTTCTACTTTTTCAGGTTAGCTATTAAATGATGTCAAGGCATATCAAGACATATTAAGTCATTGTTAATTGTTTAATTAAAGTTCTACCAGTCAAAATGCAGATTTACTCTTTTGCTCGATTGCATTTGGTTCTTTTCTTCCAAATAAAGGGTAACAGAAGAATCTAAAGAAACTGCGTTTCGGTGATGTAATGGGACAAGCTTAAAAACGCCTGTTATCTCCTTTTGAAAAGGAAATAAAGAAATATGTTTATGAACGCAATGCAAGCTATGGAGTCAGAATCCGCAGAAATGTCGCAAATCCTGAAGGTTTTGTTTTTCACCCTTTCTCCACCAATGACCTGGATATATCTCTAGTGAACGGCATTGCGTCAAACCGTCCTGAATCGCGTATGAGTTTTCTTCGTTCATGATTGAAAATAAATGTATTATGCGTGCACAGCCCATCTTAATTCAGAGTTCCAATTCGTCGCTTCAATTAACGCCGATTGTTCTCGACTGGATAAATAGAAAGCGAAATATACAAATACATAAAACAAGAAAAATGCCCTGGACTTTTATTATGCAACAAACATCGTCTATTCATGATAATTTCGGAACGTTTTCATTTTGGTGAAATAATTCTTACGTTGTCTCTTGTGTAATGGTAGAAACCTCATGCCTAACCGGTAGAACACGCGCTTAGTCTCTTTACATAAAACATTCATGGGTTTCTATGATTTTCCCAACAATATCGAAGTCACAAAAAAAATTGGCAGGTCCCACATTCTCAGGGTACTACAACATTCTTGCTCTCCATTCCGGACGCTCCACGAATAGTAAATCGCTTATCTGTCACTGGAACCACAATAAAATCCAATAACAATGCAACAAGGCCATCGACGAGGTCATCGACACAGATAGAGATCCACAAATACATATCTCACGTTGCATCACGAGCATGATGTGTCCAGATGCTGTTGCATTACGTAGACATGACCTCACCAAGTGTATCATGTTAGTAGAGAACTTGCGCCGTTCTCTACATGCCGTTCTCTACATGTGCATATTTTCCATTTTGCTACATCTGATAGTATGGCCGATTGAAAAATTAAGACCACAGGTCAATCAAGGATTTTGCCAGTGGGAGGCATGAACAAAAACTATTCTCTGTAAGCAAAAAGTACTGTCATTTCAATATGGAATATTTTGTGAAGTACTTTGCTATAGAATAATATACATTATATGTATCATATTGGTGCTATCCAGATGATCCATTAATAAAGTGAACCTAAATTACATGTACCAAGCCTCACTGTTCCAGCAACACCTCAATGAAACCACGGGCCCTTGTTGATACAACATTTGGGACCTTAATCTATGTTTAAGCAAGATTACGAAGTACCTTGTTGGCTGCCAAACATAAATCCGACCGGTAGTCTCTTTTTGAGAATAATCACTGGCATGAAGATCTAAATAATTGAGCTATGTGAACCTAAAACAACACTGGTAACTAATTTAGAAGTTGAATATTATATACATATACCATCACATGTGTTACCTGATTGATATTACTGTGTAGGGTGAATGAATGTTGAATGGAGAAATTCTTGCTCTATTTTCCTGGAACCCCCAAGTCCACACCACAGTGTTTTCTTTTAAAATCTCGCCCCAAAACGAGATAACGCGTTAGCTCCCCTGATAAGGCGCGCGATAACGAGATAATGCGTTATGTTGCGTGATAATATGTTCTAGTGTCAATACAGCGTGCTCATAATGATAGTTTTGCGGGCACCACTAGCTGATGGACAACGCTCCGTGATAAAGCTAGACTGATAGCGACAATATAAGGAGTGGGGCCACATCCTGGGTGTTGTAGAACCCCTATCGTGCGGAGGGGCCCCAGAGAAATGCATCTTTTCTGGCGTTTGATGCAGACAGCTGTGACAGCGTGCTTGGTGGTGGGGGATGCTAAAAGTAAGATTTTTGAGTGTTGTTGCTTTTGTGAGTTTGAATGAAATTTGGCGATTTGAATGAAACAAAAACTGAATAGATTTTACCCGTATTTTTAGTGGATTTTAACTGACACTTGTTAGAAAATTTTAGCCACATGTGAACGAAGAATTGTAACATTATCAATGTGTTTGATATCGATTTTACGTCGTTTTGATATTAGAGAAGATCGAGAGAGATAAGTATAGGGAGGTGTTTATAGAAGCAGCAAGTGACAATTGAAAACTTAATATTACAATACTTCTTTATCTGTTGCAACTGAAATTGTTTAAAATCAACTTAACTTGTAAGTAGTTTTATTTCTTCTCGTTTTCTAAATTCAGTATAAAATGAAAAAATAAGCCCATCGTTTTTTTTCTTCTCATTTTTATGTAATGCCAAGAAAGAAAATACTTTGAGGCGTTAAAATAAAATGTAGATTTAACCATTCGAAAAAATGCATTTTTCTTACAAACACGTGCTAGGGGCATACAACATTTGACTGACATCAATATTCGTTAAAGCAAAATGGCGGATCAAGGTGCGGTAATTAGGAAGGGGTGGGACTTTTTTCACTTAATTGAATGATGGGGGTGTTTTGAAACACGCTAGGCCTACACACACACACACACACACACACACACACACACACACATTTAGGGTACTGTTAGGCCAGAGTGATTGTTCCCTCTCACACTTCAGCCTAGATTACATTTGAAATGTGATGCCCGTACGGTGCACGTATACTGCCCGTCATACCCTTTTCGTACAGCGTCTGAGCGGAGATAGACGGTGGTCGTGCAAAATCGCACGGAATCCGTAGCTCCTTACGATAAAAAAAAAAACGTACAGACAATTTCATCGCACGGCGCCCGTGTTAATGTAATCTAGGCTTTAGCGGGGAGGCGGGGAACTTGTAATTCAAATTAAAGGGACGATAACTGGATATACCAATGCCTCTCATACATTTACAGAGCACTTTTCATAATATTTTGCTTTACAGACTGTGACATTCGGGGGGACATCGTTTTTGTGGTGGACGCATCGAGCAGCATTAACGACACGGACTGGGAGAAACAACGGCAGTTTATATACGCTATTGTCTCGGAGTTCACCATTAGCAGAGACGACGTCCAGGTCGGCATCTTAACGTTCAGCACTGGCTATAGGAATATTCATGTACTAAACTCAAAAGCAGATAAAAAGAGCATATTAGTTAAAATAGCCAACATGCCACAAGAAGGCGGTGGCACCGATACGGCTATTGGTCTAAAGATGATGCTGCAGAATCAGTTCAGCATAAGGAATCGTGATGGATACAGACCAGGTGTGCCAAGAGTTGGAGTCGTCGTCACGGACGGTTGGTCGGACAATCTCACTGAAACAAAGCTTCAGGCAAGGAAAGCAAAAGAGGAAGGCATCACCATGTTTTCTGTTGGTATAGGGGACGTCCCAAGGCGGGCAGAACTGGAGGCCATCGCTTCTGATCCTCTTGATACACATGTCTTCCACGTGGATGATTTTGATGCTTTGGAAACGATCAGAGAAGCTTTGTTTGGAACTATTTGCAACGGTGAGAGTTGTGTGCTTTCCAACATCTGAGAATTCTGTAAATTTTTTAAGTATTGAAAATATGATAAAGAAGGCAACACTACGTATGTCTTGTGTATGTCTGAGAATACGGTCCGAATCCATTTCTTATAATCTAAAAGATTGAACATAATAATAATAATAATAATATGAAAAGATGAAAAATAATAACAACTGAATTAGCCTATGTATGAGAAGTCATAATTTAACTTTTTTCTGTTAACAGGCATATGCCCCAAAGAGTGGATAAGAATAGGTCACAAATGTCTCTTCCTCTCAAAGGAAGAAGCGGTTTATGATGAAGCCAAGACAACGTGCTCTGGCATGTACTATGATGCCACGCTGGCCATAACCAAAACAAAGGAAGAGTACAAAATACTAGCTGGATTAATATACCAAACGACGAAATACAACTTTTCATACTATATAGGTATGGAGATAATCACAAAAAGAAAAAAATGCGTGAACCGCAAAGATATAACTTTTTTTCCTTTCGGTTTGTATTTATACTCTACGAAATTGAATATAAAAAGCGATTGAAATTTTATAAAAAAGGTTCATACACGAACTTTTCATAGTTAATGGGAACGACTGTTAGCGGTCAGTCACACCATCACCGTCGTTACACCCCTCAAGTGATATGACATATGTTATTACCCTCCACTAGGCGGTCGGTATAAACGGGAAAGCAGAGTCAGAAAAAAGTTAACAATATTTTATTCCTTATATTCAGAGCGCGCTTAGTTAAAACGCGTTTTCTGTGTCACCATTTTATCTGGATGGATGAATTAACATCAGTTACCAAAAACTGTTCCTTTTTTTTTTACAGGATTGGACTCCGAGCACCGCCTGAATGACGTCTCCGAGAAACCGTCTTTTGTATTTGCCGATAACACGTCCCTGAGAGACTATAACGAATGGACACCTGACATGGACAACAGTGTCCGTGGATGTGTCCTGCTGGACAAGGATGAATCCTTCATGTGGACAGTGGTGGAGTGTGACAGCAAGGAGAGGTTTGTTTGTGAAATTGACAGGTCCAGGAAACGATAACATCACCGGTGGAAGTTTAATGTGACAGGCTGAGGAGGAGATTCAATTTTTCTGCTTATGAACGCAAACTGAACAATCAATTATCCCTGCATTTTCATTTTAATAGCCTTAAAGTCAAATCCTGCGCGATGTTGCTATCAGTTTAATATGAACGTTCTCGCATAGGAAAAAATTGAAAAACTTAGACAAGCTGAAAAATTATGACATAAGTTAACTTGACGTGTGGTGTCATTTCAGTGTGGTTTCAGTTTCATTTTGATGAAGGGATAAAGAACGAAAACACAGCATTATCATTTTTATCAAATTGTATATTTACACGATAATGATGACAGTAGCCTATACATGAACTTACATTGCATTTGGAATGTGAAAAATCTGTCCGTGGCTCGCGTTTGCCTGGACATTTGGTCAAACCAGCTGACCCCCTCCCTGTAACCCTCTCTCTTTCTCTCTCTCTCTCTCTCTCTCTCTCTCTCTCTCTCTCTCTCTGGAACTATTTACAGATTATATACAGTATCATTCCCCAGGATTATCGAGCATTTGTCTGACAGTACATAATACATGTGTAATTGTATTGATCGTGATCTGGCGGTGGAGAAATGTCCTTTCCGCTTCTTATTTTTTTTTAAATAAAAGTCAAAGTCATAAGTCAAAACTATAAAAATCTGTGAGATGCACAGAATCCTTCTGAGCTGGGCGTTCCCTTAAAGACAATTACAGAAATTACATTTGGTAACATTTTAATCAAAAGTCGTGTGATCTGGGTCGTTATAGTTCTCAGACATCAAGCTCACTGTCCTCTTTTATCTGTCGTGCCTGGTCCATAGAAATATAGCGCGCATTTACCGGAGACTCTTTCTCGGTAAAATCGTCATCATCAGCAACCACTTTTCCAACGGGGCGTGGCGGCTTAAGAACATCATACGGGCACTCATCTGGGACGGCATAAATCGCACATGCGCCGGCAGGTTCTATTTCCGGTTGCGGTGGGCGCGGCGTGGGTTCTGAATACAGAGGCTCGGGTTGCTGCTGTTGTGGCGGTTGTTGGTCTAGGTATAAAGGGTTTGCGAATTGGGCGTGGAGCTCGTCGTCATAGTTGCTGTAATGATTTTGCGTAGAAACATGTTCCACTTTTTCTTTTAGTGTTCTGAAAGAAAGATTAAAGATTGAGATCATTTGTAAATTTAGTAAATAAATTTATAGGTAGGTCTACAGCAGGAGAGAGAGAAGGAGAGAGAAGGGTGGCTGGCACGTTATTCAAAACAAATTCTTGTTGAGAATTTTTTTTCTGGTCAAGACATTGGTTACATTTACACTTTCATAATTTAAACCGTAACAGTACTCATCCTTTCGCCATTAATTTCTTAAACAGTAAACGTGAAAATAATCGGTTAAGAAAACAATAAAACATAGCAAAAATACCTTATGCGCCTTCTGTATACATAAACTACTATAAGAAGCACCAAAACTAAGATGAATATTCCCGCAAATGAAGCGCCGATCACAACACCTGGTGTTAAAGACATAATAATATAGATTAAAAAGGGGATTCGGTATTTTCCGCATTTGGAAATAAAATTATAAATGTGAAACACAAGAAAAATAGAAAATATATGAAATACCTAAAAAAGGAATTATATTACAGGTGGCAACCACAACAAAATGCATTAACCAGAAATTGTTAAAAATGTAATATAATCACTGATACTGACAATGACTTCCAGGTAAAATGACTCTATTGTTTGTTCATGTAACGTCACATTTTATATTCATTTCTATGTCATTAAGTATTCCTGCATGCTGTATTATAAGATTTAAACACATCATTAAAAAGTGCTCGAACCAAATAAACATCATTTCATATGAGTTCTATATTCAGCTAGTAGAACAATAGACACCTGTGTGATCGTCTTGTTGTTTATTGTCTGACTTGAAAGCACCAGCATTTGCTCCACCTGAAATTATGAAGAAAAGTAAATTTGAACGTAAAAAAATCATTTATAAATTGAAATTTGTTTACTAGGATATATCTGATTTATTACAAACGTCACCAGTAGAGGTCAGTGCACAGACTGGGAGACAATATATCACGTTTTAGGTCTCAACGAGCTAAAAAAAAAAATACAGTCTGTAGAGACACAGATTTACTGTAGGCTCAAGGTATTATCTTTATGTCAATTGATAACACAAAACACGAAGTATCTATGTACAATAGTACATGTGTACCTGGTTTGAAGATACTGGAAGTGGTGGCGCTGGAAAATTCCACGTCTGTCTTGGTGGCAGCGGTGGGACTGGATCTCGTCGCAGAAATTGTAGTAGGTGAGACTGGGTGAGTGTGCTGAGTGGTTGGACGAGTGCTGGTTGTAGTGGTTGTAGTAGGCGTGGTTGTGGTTGTGATGGTTGTTGTTTTGGGGGTGGTGGTTGTGGTAGTAGTAGTGGTGGTGGTGGTTGTGGTTGTTGGAAGCATATCTAAAAAAATGAAAATTCACTATTATTAAACGTATAAATCATGCTTATTATTATTATTATTATTATTCAGCAGTAACATTGTGCACATACGAAGGTTCTTTATCATATCATGTCTCCAAAATTGGACTATATACTGTCTACTGGCTTCTATTCTTCCATCTAATAGGATCGACACTTACCGTACATGCAGATATACCGGTAGGTATGCGGCCACGTCTCACACAAGTAGTTCCCCCAGCGCCACCCGTCTGGACGCTTCATGGCGGCGCAGTCAGTGTATGGCGCAAAGACGTGGTCCTCTGGCTCTCCCGGGTTCCAATTCTTGAAGGAGTCCAGTGTTGTGTATCCTGAATAATGATAATAAAATTCATGCTCAAGTTCGTAAAATTGATAAAGGGCGGGTAAGTTTGGCTAAGGATTTTTTAATTAACGTTGCAAAATCTTTTAAATTCAAATTTAACCGTCGACATTACTTTTGCTTTGCACTGACGTCACAAGTAAGTCTTACTCCCCGGCACAGACGTGACGTCACAACTAAGTCTTACTCCCCGGCACAGACGTGACGACATGAAGAAAATATCTGTAGCCACAGTTGCTTGCTACCTGACCGGATATACAAATTACCCCCCCCCCCCCCACTTCCCATCCCTACTCCTCGTTACTCTCACCTGTATCAACCCAGTACCACGAGCCCTCGTTTGCTTTGTCGTTGGCTCCTATCCAGACGCCATTAAACGACCCCCACGCAGACTGCAGAGAGTTCAGGATGCCATTCAAGAAGTTTTGGGTCTCTTGGTTATATATGGCTGCGAGTGTTCCACCGGTACTTCTGCAGTCAGTCAAAGCGTCCTCCCAGGTCTTTTCAACGTTGAAGAAACGGTAACACTTGTTTTGGAAGGGGAAGACATTCGGCTGGTCGCGAACTCTGCTTGGACACCTCGATTTGTCTGAAAAGCAGTAATACGATATATCAATTTGAAAATAAAATTCTTTTGGTGATTGAAATATAAATATAACAGTGTAGGCTATTTCATCATCAACGCACGAGTTACCATAAATTAGATTTTGAACTCTCATCTGCTACTTGCCCGACTTTGAGCAGTTGAGGATGCACACAATCACAATCAGTGAGACGAAGGGAGCACCTACTGCAATCGGCTCCATTGCAGAAGTTTTAAGATCAAGAAGCAATATATCAGGACATAAATCCTCTTATTCTTTTGATATTTCTTCTCATTTTTCAACACGCAACCCGCAATTTGTATGCATAAAGAGAAGGATTTGGTAAGGACAAAGAGACATTAGATTCTTTAAAGGAAATTTTAATGATCACGTGATAACTAAGAGGAATAAACGTCAGGGGCGGACGGCAGCCGTCTTCTGGGTCAGAAATTTTCAAGTTGACAGTGACGGGCATCTAATTTTTTTCTGTCGGAAGACGGTCGAAACGGAAGATGGTTAGTTTGGAGGACTGTCAGAAAATATCTCTGAAATCAGCCCCTGAATGTCGCCATGATTGTCGCTTATCGAAAGTATCGACCTCGGCGAAATTAAGAGTGGACCATCAAAACAAGGAAATACATCCAACCTTTTTTTACGGGGAAAAATAAAATCATAGCAAGCCACCGCAAATACCTAGAACAATGTGGTACGAGTAGTAACATTATAGAGCTAATTTCCCCTGATATCACATTCGGTTTGTGGTGTAAGTTAAAGATATTGCGGTGAGCATTATAAAACACGCAATCAAACACCTGATCTAAAATAGGTGGTAAACCAGCGTTTCTTAAGGGTAAGTCACCCCTAATGAGAGAACCCGGTGTTGGGTTACAGCAGAACTCGTAGCGAACGGAGTGAAATCTTATAACACATATCACAGCGGCTGATGAATCATCATCATTATGTCAAAAAAAAAATAAAATAAATAAATAAATAAAAAATAATAATACAATAAACAAAGAAAGAAAGAAAACAAACTTTCGATGATTCAAAGCAAGTCAGAACCTTTCATGCACCGTTGATATCAATGCCATTCTCTGATCCAAGATTTTCTTTAAGTTCGATTTTACAAAAGTTTATATGGATGGGGGGGGGGGGGGGCGTCAAGAAGTTTACTTTATAATCTAAATACATTATCAATGCCATAGAGCGGCCCGCAAACAGCGTTGTCAGATATCGGATCTACATGTTTATGTACGGAAAATATGTAAGATCGCCACTGTCCGTAACCACAACTAAACAGCCAGCAATTCAATACATCAAAATTGTTTTTGTGGTTTTTAAGATAATGCCGTATGTAATTTCCATTCCAACCTCGGACACTGAATCATTTTATTTTCCCCATTGATAAAAGTTCACATGCGTGTTTTGTACTATGATATTCCTGTTTACAAATACCAGGGTCGGCCATTGATTCCCAACTTAGAACAAAGTGAATGTTTCATAATTGCAAAATGAAAAGAAAATTTTAAATACAAAAGTTTGCTGTTGGTAAAGATTGCGTTTTTCTCAATATCTAAATTAGGAACAATTCAATTCAATGTTTGTTTACCCTAGGTTGTTATTTAGTAAAAGAAAAACAAGTGAACGTTTCATTTATAACAATAAACAGAAATGATATCCTCAATTTATGTGGATATTTGATAATTGGGATTGAGGATTTATTGGAAAAGAAAAGTGAATGTAAAAATCTGATTAATAAAAGGCACAATGAATGCAGCACAGACACGTGTATCAGAACTTTTTTCTATAAGGGATGTTACGCCAGGTGTTTATACTGTATTAACCATTCACCCTTAAGACACATCTTCAGTTCTACGTGTACACTGTATATAATCTCCCTGGAAGACTCAACATAAGGACAAATTTTTGGTATGACGTCACAGTTATGGCGGTGGCGGTATCAGGAGCAAGATGTCGTATGATGTAATGCAATACCAAAGCTTTCCGTGTCTAGGACGAAGTGTGCAAAGTCTGCAAACGGTAGCGAGACGAGTGCAATACAGTCTAGAGTTAATGTCCCAAAGCCGTGCCTAAAGGTATTAACAGAACGCGGCCCTCGAACGAAAACTTCCTACGGCGCGTTTAAATGATTTAAGCCACTAACTGCAACGATTCTAGTGCGTCGAGCACAATAAGAACACACTAAACAAATAACGTTGATAAGTATTAAGTTTCAGGCTGAAAGATAAAGCGCTGATCCCGATACAATCCAGAACGCTTTGTTTTATTCATCTTAAATGACTGAAAATCAAAGAAAATATCGGGCTGAGTTCTATGGTCGAACCACTTGACTCTGTGTAAACGCTCTTTGTGGTCCCAGTCACAACACTCACCCGGCCAGGACAGAGTCGTTTTTATATTCACCACACACCAATCAAATACTAGCATATGTGCTTATTTGTTCAATGTTGATCCCAAACAACGACGAAATGTACTATATATGTGTGTCTAAGAGTTGAAAAAATGTCACATTTACTTAAGGGAAACAACGTTTCTATAGTCAACAAATTATACCGCCTATCAGCTTGATACTGTCCGCACAACATTTCAAGGACGTCTCTTTTACAAATTGAGTTTTACTTTAACTCACCCTTACAAACGCCCACCGCTGAATATTATTTCATATTTATTCAGCGGTTTAGATGAATACATAAATAAGTGGAGGCTATAATTGTCAGGTGAGTCGTACAGCGCACCTTAGTCACATCGAACCATCGATGGTATCAGGTAGAACGCATACCAGAGGTGGAGAAGCTATGCTGATCACAGTCATTAAGGCCCCACTCCAGTTCATTCAATCGGTCTACGTGGATCGACCCAAATCTGCGAGGACTCTCGCTGAGCGCAATCAGCTTGAATGAATGACACGCCTCTTTTTGCTTCCAACGTACTCGCATGATCAGCAGCTTTTATTCAGTTAAGCCAAAGAGATGTAGAGATTTACGTCTCTTTGGGTGAGCTGATTGCAATCAGCGAGAGTCCCTGCAGAGTTGGGTGGATCCACCTAGACCGATGATGTCTATGGGAATGGGGCCTATGTCTTTGATGTAACATCAATCTACCTGGCGTGTCTTGATGCAATCGTGAGACGTTACAGGTATGATATACTGTGAGGGCAGTGACTGGAGCCTATAAGTCAACGTTCACTGTGATGTCGAAGCTATGACTCGTTATATACCGCGGTGACTGTATCAGAGAGATCAATTATAGATATGATGGGTGAAAAATAATATCAGACACGGTACACCCGCCCTCGCGCTTAGTGTATGCATCTCTACTGCAGAACTTCGGGTTGTAGTAAAGAGCTGCAATTATAGGACGGAAAGAAAAGAAAGGAAATGGAATAGAGAGCAGCATATCTGTTTATTTGCAAATTTCCCACCGATCTCCACTATCCTATCGTCTACTGTGAGTCCCAAGTGTTGATAACACTTGGGGAGATTCGAGTATTTACAAACCTGAAAGGCATGTTGAAAGCCAATATTAAAACCCTAACATATATTTACACATCCATGGTTTCGATGAGTATTTTCTTTTTCAGCGAAAAGTGAAAATGAGAGATCCAAAAAGCGTGGGGTTTGTATGACTTTATCTTTCGAATGGGTGAGTTAATGGGCGTTTATGATGTTTAAAATGAAAGTAAACATTAACGTGGGGGGGGGGGGGGGAGAGAGAAATAGACGTATTTCAGCTCATCAAGATTCTTTTAAAGGAAGGGGAGACAGCGTTTTATTATACAGCATTACCCATCTGATGATGTTCTGGTGTCTCGGTATGACATGACTTGGTGTAACAGTAGGCCCTATAACCATAATGTCTTAGGCTAAAGGGCATTATATGATACGTTCCCAGCTCCTATTATATATTGTCAGCAGTTATCTCCATGGAACCTTGAATGAAATATGAACCCACACCATTCTTTAGCTCGGATTGAGAAATATGCTTCAGTTCATCTGGTGATTCAATCCCCACATGCTTTTTTTTCATTTTCTGAAGTTCTCTTTCTTTATTTGTGTGTTGCACTTTAGCCATAGAGTGTATACAATCGCAAGATAGATATATATGAGATTGTGACATGTACAGTCTGACTGTCCGTCACGACAGTACTTATTCAATTTCTAGGGGATGTTTTAATTACATATATGCACGGCATGCTTTTGTGACCTATGAAATCTGTAAAATCACTGGACAAAAGATATAGGAATATGTGAGAAAATGACAGTCTGACAACTCACTGTAATGACAAAGGTTTTCTAGTATTGAAAATAAGGGTGTAGGACAGATTTTTCAAAATCAGTTCCCTTCGATCAGCGCGTCTTCTCAAGAATGAAAAAAAAAGGCATATTTGAGAAGGACACGCTCTCGCTGCACCCCCACTACCCTCTTAAAATATTCTGCCTGACCCGTGTACGTCTTCCAACACAACTTTTAAGTTGCCATTAAAATGCCTGTACTTTATAAGTACTTCTTATGATGATCGTAGTCTACCAATAGATTACTAGCGCAAGACCCATTTTAGTCTTCAAACACAATTTACTTATTCGTCCAAGTCCCAAATTACTGTACTGCGTCCCCAGACCAGGGGCGTAACCAGGCATACGCACGGATGCACTGTGCGTACAATTTTTTGAGCCAACCATGATATTATTCTCCATAAATTCAGTGTATTTTTCACAGAATATAATCGTATCTGTGAATTTTCAAAATCTGTGCGTACAATTTTAAAAGGTCTGGTTACGCCCCTGCAGACTACCCCCCCCCCCCCAACCCCCGGCCAACGCCAAGAGAACCCACTACCCCACATTCAAACGACAGCTGAATTCACTCCATCCTCGGTTGACGCGCTTTGAAACTGAGGCGGTTTTAACTTAGAACCGGTCTGAACGGATTCCAGAACGTCCTGCCAGGCTCGAAGTGTGTTTAATACAAAAATATGCATTCAGTTACTCACGAGATGCATCGTACGATATGGCATCCGGAGCGAAGCTATGTGCAATAGATAATACCCAAATCTGTGTTTAATTTCTGGGGTCACCATGCAAATAGACTAGAGAAAGTTTATAAGTTCTATGCACATGTATTTTTCAGCACCAAATAAAATCCACGAAATATCATAGAAGTATCGCAGCCTATACATGTACTCTGTTTTTCGTCCAACAGCGCGGGGTGTTATGTCATAAACTTTTATATATACAGGTATCTGTGAATTCGAGCATAATCGTTTGTATGGTACGTGGTTCGAGAGCCTGGTATTTTACTTCACCGTGATTGACTTATTTAAGTGGAGAGGGCGTTTCTTGTCAGTATTGTAGTCTATAGTTACACATTATATAACGACTGTAAACGATATGAATGGATTGTCATATTGATTGATTTGTTCTTAACAGGTAAGAAAGGGGTTCAATACACACCCACATATTGATCGGGACATATCAACCCATACAAATAGAAATATATGAAAATATATATCGCGCATACTGTAATACATTATTTCTTGAAAGAGGATCAGGATATTTATTGTATATTTGACATATAAATCCCTGCCTACTAATAACCAATGGCACTCATCACTTGCATCGTGTTGGCGCTCAGTTGTGATCTACGTGTCTGTGTTTGGGTACAAGAGAGAGAGAGAGAGAGAGAGAGAGAGAGAGAGAGAGAGAGAGAGAGAAAGTATTATCGCCACCTACCTGCCACAGATTCACGGCACGCTACCAACAGTCCTATCAATCCACCAAGAATCACACGCACGGAGAAAAACTGACAGGATTTCATCTTGCTCTCGACCCGTCTCTCTCTGCACTGCAGTGATTCTATCCACAAAGAATGCCAAGATCGTAAAATCCACGGCCAGTGTCAATACGCGGCTTGTTTAGAACGTTGAAGCTAACCAGATGTAAACAATGTACAAATACTTGTTGTTTACAATAAATCCCAACTCTGACTCTTGCTATAGAGGTTCATTCAATGTCAATGGCCGAAAAGACCCTCTCCCTAACAAATATGAGTACTGACAGTATATTATAATATGCTTTCTCCGAAGTAACTTTCACAGGACTGTGTGTGGTAACAGTGGGAAATGTACACTTGAGTTTATCCCTCTTCTTCGATACAACTAAGAGTTGATCAACCTTTCCCCACAACGGTGTCCTCAAACTGTAAACCTCCCTCGTTCCTTCTTCGCCACAGCTAGACACCTATATAGGCCCTGTGTACCAACTCTGTTAGGAAGAGAAACACTGTGCTAGGGGTTCAGATTTCTTTGCAGTCTGAGCTAGCCTTCCACGTCCTTCCGCCTCGAGACTGTGTTCCTATATAGCTGAACACTTACCCCATCAACACAAAAATACACGCATTGTATATACGACCCCAGTGACGTCGGCACCCTCATTAATTGTTATTAAGATGCGATCTCGACACGGTGACCCCCGTTTCTATATTGAGTCATACGAGGGGACCTGCTTTGCGTGACAAAGGGGGATTTAGCCTTCGTCGCTTCGGTACACCTACGCGGAGTAACTACCTGGTCTGACGTCACACAGATACACCTGAGGACCCCGATATCACTGCTCTTCTTGAATCTTAGTGTAGAGTTCGAGTTTAAACTATTTGGACAATCTTTTGAGATTTTACACCCAAGGTAAAAATTTAGAAATCCACCTTTGAATAAAATACAGCGCCTGTTCTCGTTTTATTATGATTTTTTACTAATCTTAATTTTATTTATATTTAAAAAAAGGAAAGCGACACAGCTTTGAGCCGTAAGTCACTCTATTTCAGTGAATTGGTGTCTACTTTCTCAATTTAGAGCAAAATAAAAAGCCTAAAGTTAGAGATATCATAACGAAAGAGTAATATGTTGCTTCTGGACATAAATTACGATCACACCATAACTCAGCGGTAACATCTCACAAGATTGAAGAGAAGAAACCGTGCCATGACGTAACACCTCGTGACAACACGTGACCCTGTTATTTATCACCCCATTTCCATAGATTAGATCGACCTACTTTAGATCGACCTAACTCCCTGGGGGTTCACGCTAAATAGCTGTCAGCCGGGCGGACACGAAAGTTAATTACCTCCTTACAGCTTGTAGTAGGCGGGACGGATATTCAAGTCGGATTATCTGAAAGTAATCTAGTGAGACTCACCGCCGGGATAGATCGATCTAAAATCTATGGGAATAGAGCCTATGTCTGAGGGTGCTTTATCTATGTACTGGTACAATAGCTCTCTTTTAAACCTTTCACAGATATCTGTTAATGTTTTTTTTTTCATTTTTCATATTGCCTTAACAAATTCAGCCTAATTTTATTTATTTATTTATTTATTTATTTATTTATTTATTTATTTATTTATTTTTGTGAAATAACTGAGAAACGACAATGAGCTGCAAATTGTATTGGTAATGATACAAATCCACCCTGTTTATCCGATCTTTAAACGCAGGTGCATGACCCCATTTGGTTGTGAATTTTCCAGAATAGTTTATTTCTAAACAAGGACGTCCCGAACAAGAGCGCGTCCCTAAAAAGAATCCCTGCTGATTTTATTAACTTCGAACAAAAAATCGGGTCACGAAGAAAGTGGCTTACTTGTATTATGTGTCTGAATGAGGTGGCGACCTTATGATGTTTTGTTTAAATGAATTCTCATCCATGTTCTATAAGGTCATCGCCTGTTCAGAGTCCGACGGATGAAATATGTCTGGAAAGTAGGTGTACTTACATGTGACTTGAGATTTAGAAACTAAATGATACTACAGAGAAAACTATTTTGATCCTGTTAGATGTACAGTAGTATCGAATTAACCTACCATTAATTATCCTGTATAATAATTTCTAGTGCAAGTGTTAATTTTTATTATAGTTAAACACACTTTAAAACATTTTCATTCTTTTGTTTTCGGACTATTATAATTTTTACTTTATTATTTATTTGTTTCGTTCTCACCATTTTTCTCTATCTTAGCAAACGAATCGATTGTAAAATCATTTTTAAACTGCCACAATTTTGTAGCCCTCGAACCAAGGGCATTCGATCTCAGTTTATCATGTACGATACTTCCTTTCATACAGGTCACCACGTGTATGGGCTTTTCAAAGGTCTTCTGAGCCTAAAAAGCCTGTACCACAACCATTGTACATGTTCATGGCACGTAAAATACGTCCATGCCACTTCACCCTTACTCCCTCTTCAATTCATTATAATGTCTTATGCATTAAAAGACAAGACAACGGCACATAAAACAATAAAACTTCATTTCTTAATTCGAGGTATACATTTTCAGTTATTACATAATGTTGCATGACGTCAGACCAGCTGACTACATATATGTATTTCTTAGTGGGTATTTTATGTACAAAATGATATATGACAAAATGGGTGAAATTTACTTGTCTAAAACCGATAATAATAATAATAATAATAATAATAATAATAATAATAATAATAATAATAATAATAAAATATTGAGATTTTTACAAGGGTCAATCCATTCTTTTCACGTCGCAGAAAATAATAAAAAAAATATGAGTCATGTATATGTCATAGGACCGCTGACAGTGGTGCGACAAAGGTTAATATTACATTAGAAACGTCTTCTCCACACACCTTACCCTATGTACACTGACCTGTGGATCCAAGGAGATTCATAATGGCAAGATATTCAAAACAATTTTCACAAACAAGAAAAAAAAAGCACATGGCTCAACACATCACAACAGCGAAGATATAATGTTTGTGTTGCCAGGTAGCGCCCAATTACCCTGGCTACAAGATGTACTTAACAATACGTCCTGTTGTTCCCTTATGGCGGCACCGCCCCCTAAATAATACCCCTCAGTGACAGCTCGTGAAGACGATATTGCGCGTCATAGTGATGGACAGCCCGAGGATAGTCAAAGAGTTTAGAGGCTGGATTCGCTGACCCTTCCTCACTGATGGAATCTGATGGTTTTAATCTTTTGGCAAGATGTATTGTGAAAAATTTCCTTAAACCTTTGAAAATGGATCTTTCTAAAACCTGTCACGGCAACAAAAAATATCACCGATTACCCCAGTTTGCAAGCAGTTATTTCAAACTTCATTTAACATAAAAAGGATAGGCCTACCCGCACGAAAACGCAGTAGTATCGAAGTAGCAAAGAAGCATTAACGCAGTAGTGGTGTGGAGCATATTTGCAGTAGAAATGCAGTATAGCCTACTGCAATTCTACTTCAAAAATTACATAGGGTTTTACAGAGGAGGAGCATTAATGCAGTAGATTAGCAGCATGATAGAAGCATGTTTCAAATATGCTAATTAGCTCCCACATCGAAGCAGATTTGAAGCATGTTTGCAGTATGATTGCAGTAGTCTACTGCGCTGGAGTATCTACTTCATTTTCGTGCGGGTAATACCTGGATTTCTAAACGACCATAAAATTGCGTTGTGTTGGTACACGTCAGGGGGTTCTGCGTCTATTTCTTTTTCGATCCTTCTAAAGAAGCTAGAAATGGTTTTATTTGACTCAGGCGATAAGTCAACACAACATTCAAGAATTTCCAGTTCCAAATGTCATCACTATTTTGATAACATTCACACCAAATTATTAGCATCATCCACATTCGCTTGTGTCTTCATCGTCATGTATCCGTCATTGGCCATACCAACCTTTAAATCCTCCACATCGTCCTCTTTTAATTCAAGTTTGGCATTTTCACCAAAAGATGTGGGATTTTTTATTTCATCGTATGGGTTCGGGTCGCCCAATTCGGCATAAAAGTTCTCCTGCGCGGGACCCGCGGCCCCCAGGTCGGTCGGTAGGGCACCCCCGTACATCGGATTGGAGAAACGTGCGTTCATGCCCTCTCCGTCGTCAGTGACGTTATGAGTCCATAGAGGCTCTGGCTCTCGTGCTTTTTTCCTGTAATAAAAGAAAATTGAGATGCTCGATAAATGCTGCTCAGTTGAAGTTGAAGTTTATCACTGAAGTCGTATAGAGATGGAGATAAATGTGTCAGACTGTGCTGAAAAAAAATTAATGGCTTGACATAACATTAAATACATGTATATAGGCCTAAATCAATGACAAGTTGCATGTTGTTTTTAATTTTAAAAAAACTTTTCAGAATTGAAATATTTTGTCTGGGTGAGTTCAGCATTGAATGTTCCGATATGTAAACTAGAAATTGTGCCACACTATCTTAAAACTTGTCAAACTCAAATTAATTATTTCTCGTCTTCTTTGGGTTAATCAAATTATAAACTAGAACTTTATTTGACTATTTCTTCCCACGAATTCTATCTCTGATCTAACTTACGAGTTTAATCTGCGTCTGAAGAGCACGAAGACTAAGACCAGTACAACCAGTATAACCAGAACAGCGGCGGTTGCCGTCAGCCCAATTGTCAAACCTGAAATAATAATAATAATAATAATAATAATAATAATAATAATAATACTCTGTCTGTTTTTTGTTCTATTTCAAAATTTTGTTAGCCTCTCCTCCATAGGAACGGCTGTTACTTTTTAGAGTTTTCGACTACAGTTTTTAAAAAAATTGTTTTGTGGTGCATATATTGTAAATGCTGTGTTTAATTTAAGTGCCTATGCATGTACCAGTAAACATACATCAGTAAACAAAATATCATGCACATGTATTTCTATCATCAATATGAAGGTCCAAAGAAACTTATTGACCCTGGCCCGTTGACCAGTTGGATCGTTTTTCCATAATTTTGACATAAATAAGACCATTAATAAATATCTTGAAATTAATGTATTAGTTATTGCACTGATCACTACGTTCTCCTGAATTTGTCCCACCAAACATACCTTCGTTATTCTGCTCCTGTTGCTGAACGGCTGCTGCATTTGCGCCCCCTGAAAGAAGTGAACAAAAGTCATTCTGAGTTATGATATCTTCTTCTTTCGGTTTTTTAGTGAAACCTTAGAAGCATCTTTTCATCTTTATCACATTTCATTGTATCTTTTTACTTTAAAATGTTTAAAACATCGTACCCATAAGCCAGCTGTGACGTCACAGATTCCTCGTTTGTCACTTACACTGTAATAACCGACTTATTTTTATTTCTACCTGTATATTCACTGTATAACAAGTATATAACAAGCGCAAATTATACCCCTACCCCCACATCAACAACTCTTACCTGGCTTATCAGACTTCACAGTTGTTGATGTTGGGAACTTTTCTTCAGATTTCGTTGTAGATGGCGTAGAAGACATACCAAGCTTTGTAGTAATAGTAGTGGGGGTAGGGCCACTGGTTGAAGAGACGGTCGTGTTTTCGTTGGTTATTGTTCCTGGTATGGTGGATGTAGTTGGTGTTGTGGCGGTTGTCGTTGTAGGTGCTACTGATGTTGTTGTTGTCGGTGTAGTTGTTGTTGTTGTCGGTGTAGTTGTTGTCGTTGTCGGGGTAGTGGTTGTCGTTGTCGGTGTAGTTGTTGTTGTTGTCGGTGTAGTTGTTGTCGGTGTAGTTGTTGTTGTTGTTGTCGGTGTAGTTGTTGTCGTTGTCGGGGTAGTGGTTGTAGTTGTTGTTGAGGTGGTAGTAGTCGGAATCATGTCTGAAATATAATAATAGCATTTTGTCATCGGCCACGTCTTGTAACTACACTAATCAGAGTACAATACCAATTTTGAAATAACTTTACATAAATATTAATACGCACGTAATGTTACAATCAATGTACATGTAAAAAATCATTTACTTCTGGTGACTATGACCCCCAATATGTACAGTGTATACCGCACCATGTTTAAAAAGTTTCATGTATAAAACATTATACATACCGTACATGCATATAAATTTGTACTGGTAGAAAAGATGGGTACAGTGGCTGTCCACCCACTTCCAGCCGTGTTCTCTCCTCAGGATGGAGCACGGATGGTTCTGGTTACTTGACGGCTGTCCGGAGTTCCAGTTTGTGTAGACCAAAGCGTGCCCTGGAACATGGATACAGAATATATATACATGGGTAAATGCTATATTTAATATGAATTTTTATTTCTATTGAAAATTGTGGCACGTAGCTTAAGGTGACACTATAAATACCTGAACACGTGGAAAAGTAAACAAAGATAACATCCGAGACAGAGAGAGAGAGCGAGAGAGAGTTGGGGGGATATCCAGTGATTGAGTGGATAGCTGTCTGTCTGTCTGTTTATCTGTCTGTCTGTCTTTCTGTCTGGCTTCGGGGCTAGCAGAATGGATGTACATGTGTGCGGACAGACAGACAGACAGACAGACAGACAGACGAAAAGGGGTGGGTTTCTAGAGTAAAGACATGTAATGTTCATTCATGATAGCACGTCATCTGAAAACAACATTAAACGAACTGTAGGCACCCATAGTTATTATTTTGATAATAATAATACTTCAGGTGAGACATATTGGCTGTAAAGGCACACCAGCGGGATACGAGTGCAACTTGATGTCTGGACAGGCGTTTAGATACGCTAGATCGCGTCACAGGGAACGCCCTTCTTCTTCTTGAAAAGTAGTGCATATGCTATGAATGCTTAGCAAAATGTCACCCACTTTTATATATTCATCTCTTTTGTGTAGGCATTTAGGGAATGTTGATTCATGTATTTCATATTTCAATGTAGTCTGCAACTGACAGTACTGTTGAGATAAACCATTAAGCTAGGGTATCAGGGGCTTCTAAAATATGATACAAAATTAAAGTATGCGCGATGCATTAATTTTGTGACAGACTGCTAGCACACCCAGTGGTCAGAGAGTACGCGCGCGTGTTTGTGTGTCTCTCTGTGAGTGTGTTTGTGTGTGTGTGTGTGTGTGTAAACGCGCGCGCACATGTATGTGGACGGACCGTAAATTGTTACCTGACGACCACGCCCATGCACTCCCGCTCCTTCTCAGTCCTATCCAAATGCCGTTATTCCTCCAGGACGATGACAGCACCGTGGACAACACCTCCGAGATAAAGTTCATCGTTGCCTGGTCGTGGATCTCCACGTGTCTGCCCCCGCGCTGTTGACACCAGGCCTGCGCGTCCGACCAGTACTTCTCGCTGTTCACAAACTGGTAGCAGCGCTCCCCGAAGTTGAAGACGTCGTGTTCGAAGCGTATGCGAGATGGACAGCGCGATGTGTCGTATGTAGCTGAAGAAAGAAGGAATATATATATATATATATATGTTGATATATATATGTTGATATAGTGCACATGTAACAGATGTGAATTTGAATTATGATATTCTTGTATATGTTGAGTTAGTTTTCAGTGAAATGCAAACACGTGCAATTAAGTGTATGTGGTAGGCCCTACACACTTACAATGTATATGCCCTTTACCCGTATGTTGCGGTGTCCGTGGTGTGGGCCTACATAAACACAAATACGAATGCACAGTATACCACAGTACACACACACACACGCACACACACACACACACACACACAGAGAGAGAGAGAGAGAGAGAGAGAGAGAGAGAGAGAGAGACGAAATAGTAATTTTAATTACTATTAAAATAGACACGTGTATAAGGGATAACTGCAGAAATATTATTGAAAAACGAAGCCACACAAAAACAATTAATGCACCTACCTTCAACCTTTGTTCCACGCAGAAGAAAGCACAACAATATTCCTCTTGCGAGTGTTAAAAAGTTTGGTCCTCGGCTGTGCGACATCATCAAAAGATCATAAGGTTTTCCAACAAATTTCTTCTTTAAAACACGAAAGGACGCTTGCTTCTGACACTACAGCACGCCGAATCCCCGTTTTTACTGCGTCCTCTGATAAACTGGGGAACTGACTGTGGAAATACCTCAGAAGCAAAACCTTTTACCTCCATTGAAATTGTAATGCTAATGAGCTTTACGTATGTGAGTCATGCGTTTTCTTTTCTTTGTGTTATATGTGTAGACCCTTTCAATTTTTCGCCCACGTCAAGGGCCTTTGTCAGAGTATTGTATGTCAGATTGCAGCCCTTTGTCGCGTCCATTTTGCTGATGTTTTTATTACAAAGGTGGAAAGGTGTTTTGATCTCTGGAGCATTTGCAGGGGAGCGAAAGGTGGAAGTGACTTTTAAAGTAAATGGGTCACATTTAAATTATCACAGGTGCATGGTTAATTGAATTATTTAACTACCTGTATTAATTTTCCAGCCACCTTGATGTCAAAAGTAAGAAAATAAAACAATAAAAAGTCACTTTCATATTTGTTTACATTTAATGATTTTGAGTATTTTATTGTATTTCATGTTATCTGTACACAAAATTTTCCCGCGAATTTTAAGGTCAGTTTTTAATGTAGTTGTAAAATGCGACCGGCTTTGTCAAACGTTTTGCTAAATAGCATTTTAGTATGACATTTAATGACAAAAGTCATACGTAGCTTTAAGTATCTTTTAGCATACAGCTTTTACAAAACCAGTTTATTATAGCCCTTGTTTTCATACTTGCAAGATTTTAATCTAAACGCTTGTGTTCACCAACAAGTTAATAAACGGGGAATTATGCATTATACAGAAAATTTCAGGTGGTTTTGCGATGGTACAGAATTCATTTAAAACAAAACAAGAAAAAATAAACTTCTGATAGAAAACAAATAACAACAAAAAGAAGACAATTCGATCTGAAAAAATGACAAAAAAAAAAAAAAAAAAAAAAAAAAAAAAAAAAAAAAAAAAAAAGCTCAGATTTACATGTATAATGTTGAAGGAGAATATCAACCCAGTACTCCAGTATGTCATGGCCTTGTACGGTATCCCAGTGACTCTTCGCCCAACATTTTCATTAGTCACAAGCCTATACTTTTGTGCTACACTGTCACCCTCCTACAGGAGCAGAATGCGACAGTGTCATTAACACCCCCATTGAAACTGTATCCTCTCAGATATCATTATTGTCAGCAATATTTAACTGAAGTTACTGGTATGGTATTTAAGGGCTAAGTCAGGCAGGAGTTCGAATGCGTATCAATATACAATATATCCACCTACACATCAAATTTAGCTGTAATAAAAGGTGCAACTGTGTACTAAACAGGCCCGTAGGCAGCAATCCCAAAGGGGGGAGGGTCTTTTTCTGAAAAAGTGGACCTTTTCCCATAATACTTTCATGTACCAAGATCAAATTTTACCCAGAGTGGACATTTTCCCAGCAAAAGGGGACGTTCTTTCGAACCCCTAGAACCCCCCCCCCCCCCCCCCCCCCCCCCCCCCCCCCGGCTACGGGCCTGCTAAAGGTCCAAATGTCTTCACTTCGCTGATCATTGTTAACAATACTTTAACAATCGTGTTTCTTGATAAGAATGCGACATGACAACCTATGTTAAACTCATTCGCTATGTTAAAGGTTGCACACTGTTAAGTTACCCCATACATGTATTGCTATTATACGTCCCACTGCGCTCTAGGGGAGCGTTCAGAAAACCCCGTCGTACTAGCTGGATCGATCCAGCTCTGTGGGGATTCTCGCTTAAGTGCAGCCAGTGTAATCTGCTTAATTGTCTGAGACAAGGGGATAATTAACTATCGTGCGCACTTGTACTTTAAGTTAGGTGGCGGTGTGTCAGGCAATTAAGCTGTTTAAAATAACTGCGCCTTAGCGAGAATCCCCACTGAGATAGATCGATCCTGCTGGACCGATATCTTGTTATCTGAACACAGCCCAGGGGCCAGCCCACGAGTTCAGTTATCCCTGGGCAAGTGTTTCCACCCGTTGTCCCCGTTAACGTGGTTGATAGCCTTGCCTATGGAGACGCAGTGTGGAAAACACTCATAGCGTGCACTGGACTTCAAAGACAGCGCACACAGAGAGTTCAGTGCTCAATGTTTGCATACCTGGTAGCCCAGTGTAAAGTTGCAGAGTGTGCGGGACTTTGGGTATGGTATTGTTGTAGATGATTACTGCGCAGTTCAAGTGGGTGGAAACCAGTCATCCTTAAGGAGGACGACCTAATCATTTAAAGTGTTGTCAACAGACACGGTATTTAAAACGCACAGAAATGTCAGAGCATTTTTCGAAGATATGAGGGAGTTGTTCCAAACTAAATCCTCAGCATCATACTCGCAAGTATGCTGATGTGTTTGAATGTTTAGTTTCGCTCCTTTGTTTCCTGATTTTGCAATTGCCCCCTGTTTACTTGATACATGTAAAACATTAAAACCATGATATGAAAAAGAAATATTTTATTGGGGTAATAACAGTCTAACTCTTTTGGGAACAATGCACCGAAAATGAAAATAACATAAACATAAAACAGCAGGAAATTTTATTGAAGTCCAAGCACCACCACTTGAGCCATGTTTCTACACCAACAATGTCACATACACGTAGTATTAATTGAGCGTTCACCTATGCGTTGAATCATATTAAGGATCTTATGCTGTAAATTTTCAACAAACAATCTACAAGGTATAGCCCGTTTTAAGATAGTTGATAAGATACGTTGGTCTTTAACAAGTCCCAGTCTTTGAAGTAAACCTCTCAAGCGCCCATATACTTCATGAGGTCAAGAGTAAGAGGGACATAAAACAAGTTGTCACATATTTGACGCCCTGCCTGGAAGTGGAAGTTGTTAACAAGAGTAATAAATAGCTGGCAAGCTGTCCGCACACGGGTCAATAATATAAAAACCATCATTATATACCATAGACTATAGACATAATATAGTTAACTGTGTATGTATGGGTTCTTCAGCTTAGTATTGAATGTCCCTCTGTATACGTATATGTACGGGCCCATAGTGGTTGTGGAGATGCTATTGTGGCCATCATATTAATCTTTTCAAAATATAGTTGTATTAATATTTTCAGTTTACTAAATCCTTATGCAAATGGAAGTACTAGTATAACTTCAAGTGTGAGAGGAGAACTTACACTAATATAATAACCGCTGTGGCCATGGATATGAGCATTTTACTACGAGTTCAGTCTTATTTTCAGAGGAACAATTTTTTGTATCTTCGATAATATTTTACAGCATTTTAAAAAATGGCCATTTCGGACATTCTTTTCATAAAAAACATGTAGGTATTCAATTTCACATTTACGCAATTGAAAATATTACGTCACTTAGAATTCAACAAAGTCTGATACATCGAGAGTAACTTGTATCACAGAGCATTACGCAGTCGAGTTAAATGTGCTTCCAAGCATATGGTGAATTTGCAATGTTTCAATAACTTGCAATAACAATACAAATAAATGATTATGAAACAAAAAAGTCAAGTGTCGATCATGACGTCAGTGATTCGTGTGTTCCAATACATCACTGGTTTCTGCGGTTCTGCTGACGTCACGGATTATAGCCGTCTCTATTACGACATAGATTCTCCTACGCTGTATGGTTTGATGGGGATGGTAGCACGGTCCTTGGCAATGGATGCGTACAGGGGGTTGTACAGATCCGCGCTACTCTGGGTGTTTGGCCCCAGTTCTGTATAAGCAGCGTTGTCATAGCTTATGGTCTCCGCGGAGTTAAACGTGTGACGTAATCTATACCAGGAGAAACTGTCCATTATTTATTGTTAAAAAAAGCGATAATCAAGCGATTTTCAACTGTTTAACCGCCATTGAAAATTGGCCTTTGACGTACATGTAGTTCGAGTAGAAGTTGGACTTGTGTTGAATTGTACGGTTTGATGAAAAAGGTCAAACACGAAGAAAAAAAAACAAGAAACGCAAGGAAACATAATCCTCACAATACTGGACATTTTTTGGCAACCAATAAGTTTATTTTTTTAAATTGTGAATATATTTGAAAACAATATTCCCATTTTGTCAATATCTAAGGTTAAATAGGAATACTTGTCCGTACGTGTAGGCTACTGGTAAAAATAACAACCATTAACTCACTTTCCGCTTATTTTGTTTGTAGAACCCGATATTTCAAAGGTCTTACCTCGTCCAAGCTTTTGTCCGTATGACAAAGACACTGATCACCACCACCACCACTATCAGCACCACCCCTCCTATAACACCAACACTGGCATACACGGCTGGGGAAAGAAATGATGAGTTTCCTTATTATTACATCACATATGTTATACGGCGACTTCAGCCCGCCAAATAGTCATATGCATGTTAATTACATTGCACTTGAAATGAAAAAAAAAAAACGTTACAATGATTTTTGAGCACATTTTACCTAATTTTTTTTACCCTTTTCATTGAAACAAATTGAAGAGTTATGATGTGGAAGTGTAAATAAAGGAATAGATTTAATCTTCTTGCTCTAAATGTAATTTGTTGTTTTTCATGTAACATGAAGATAAGAAGACCAACAAAGATTTTCCGGTATATATTTAAAATATATATGACCAAAATATTTTAGTAATATTTCAATTCAAAAGTCATGAACTGGAAATATCCCACTGCGATTTAGTTTAGAAAGGGGAATTTTCTACCTTAAATCCCCAAATGAAGTAAATTGTAATGAAGAGGTAAAGTACAACATAAGCCTACAGCATAGTACAAGAGAGAGGTTGGGGATAGGATAAATCCTTGAGACCGGCCAAATCTATTTCCTGTTCTACGTGAATTAATGATTATGACATTCGATTTTGCTTGCAAATCCATTTATTTTGTTTGATCTGTGATCTCTGATTTTATCTTCCGTGCTCCTGTGGTTGGTAACCCCCCCCCCCTCTCTCTGCTCCTCCTTTAGTTACACACAGGTCGTAATACTAGTTGAAAATTAACCTGGTAATTGGTTAAAAGTATTTAAAGAAATTTATCTACAGATTGGACAAACCACTTACAAATGCAATAAAAAAGTTTCCCACCTGTTTTGTCTGTTTGTTCAGCTTTCTGTGCTTCTGTTTTACCGCCAGTGCCTGATTAAATTTTCAAATTGAATTTACAAATAGGAGGAAATTTACCAAGAGAAACTAAATAGATAAATAAATAAATACAGTTATTGTTATTTGCAGTTTTATAAGTATCAAAATTCTAATAATATAATCACATAAATATAACGAACATATCTTAAACTGTTTTTTAAAAAATAAATGATGCAATAGATTGTTGCATGCAATATGAAAGAGTTAACCTAAAATCAATGTTCAATTTTTAAATACCCGTTTTGCCGTCTCCTGGTTTAGTCGTGGATTCATCTTGACTTGGTTTTGTTGACGGCTTATCTTTGGTTGAACTTGGTGGTTTTGGGGTGGTAGATGGTTTCATGGATGTCATTTCAACCGGAGTCGTGGTAGTGACGATAGTGGTGTTGGCTGCGGTTGTTGTTGAAGTAGCAGTGGTTGGGGTAGTTGGAGTGCGTGAAGATGCTCTGCAAGTGGTGGAGTTGGAAGCGGTTGTCGGAGCAACCGAGGTTGTAGAAATGGCGGCCACTGTTGTAGTTGTAGTTGTTGGAGTGGTAGTAGTGGTTGTAGATGGCGTTGTAGTTGTAGTTATTGGAGTGGTAGTAGTAGTTGTAGTAGGTGTTGTAGTTGTTGGAGTAGTAGTAGTTGTAGTAGGT